TTTTTTTGAGAGTTGTATAGTTTTTTTGGAGTTGGTATATATTATACTATTAAAAGTTTATATCTAAGTTTTCTGTAATTGCACAACCTCTTTATCTCTTGTTATATAAAAATATTAAATACAAATAGAAGAAAGACTAGGATGATATATTTAACTAGTTGAAGCAGTACCTCACTAATATCCTAATTTTGCATTATCTGAATTTTAAAAAGATATTTATAATCTACACTGATTCTTTTGGTTCAGGTTTGAGTGTTTTGCTAGTACAAAAAGATGATCAAGAAAATAAGTATATAGTTGCATATACCAGTTATGGTTTAACTAAAGCTAAAAGGAATTACACCACCACCAAGCATAAGTACCTTGTCAACCTCTAGATGATTAAGCATTTTTGTTACTATGTCAAGTTGAACCTTTTCATAGTAATAACTGATTATACTACTTTAAAATGGCTTCAAACTACTAAATTAACCAAATAATGTAAATCCTAATCTAATACCTAAAAAAAAAAAAAAGTTAATAAATAACTTGAGCAATAACTTACAAAAAAAAAAAAAAACAATAACAACAAAACAATAATAATAATAGTAATAAAAAAAAAAATCTAGTTTTACTAATATTCCAAACTAGGTTACTAATATTCTGGCATTTTTTTTTAAAAAAAAAAGAGAAAATAATAATAATAATAATAATAAATAATTTTTTTTTTTATATAAATAATTAAATATAAAAAAAAAACACCAACCAGGCTACTGGGCTAACCGGAGGAAAAGGTCATAGCAGCGCCGATGAATCAAGAACAGGTCACAGTCCTTCCGGGCCATCTGGATTGGGAGTCTGGAACCAAAGCGGAGAGAAACTGAAGTACTGGGGATATGCTGTGAAGTGGGTACTGGGGTTTGGGTGAACTTTGCAAGGGCATAGCCCTGTTAATAGTACTGTAGAGTAGGTAGGTTGTTAACAGAGAGGCATCTCGAGCCTTGCTACTGGGTGACGTACCCCTTATAAAGGGTACGACCTGGGTTCCTAGCACAGAAAGGGAGACCACATGTCAAGTTAAATAGCACTTGTTGTACAGGAACTTAGGTGCTAACTGCTAAGTGGGTACAAAAAATCAGAGAGTTTAAATAGGCAATCTTCTAGTAGATTGCAGGTATAGCAACTAGTGTAGAACCTTCGGGCAGACTACTTAAATAGGCAATCAAAAGTTGTACGTGTGGCTAGTTGTACACTTATTAATGTACTAAAAAAAATGTCTCAATATAGACATACAAAAAACACAATAAAGCGTTAAGCAACCGTGACATTGGTCTTTAACAATAAAAAAAAAAAAAATATATAAAAAAAAAATTCTTGAATAATTAAATTAAAATTCTGCTTAAAGTAAGCTACTACCAATATGGATGCAATATACTATTAATATTTGAAGAAGTATTTAGAAGATAGATACCTACCAAAAACCTTTGATCAAGCCTAACAATAAAAGATTTAAAAAAAAAGCAAATTCTTTGAGTTAAAGAAAGAACTCTTATACAAAAAGGACTAGAGGAAAAAAAAAATTTACTAAGAATATTGCAAAAATATAAGATTAATCTAATATTATTTCTGGTACATACCTATTTTTTAAAAAAGCATCTTAACAAAGATAGTATAATTACAAAGGCCCATGATATTTACTTCTAGCCCCAAATATATCTGGATATACAAAAATATGTTTAGATATGTTATCCATGCCAAAAAAGAACCAGACCACATAACCAAGATCCCTGCATACAATACTAGTTTCTGCACTATTCTACAAGATAAACATAGATTTTGTAGGTCTTCTGCTATAAACTCTATAATTGAACTGTTATATTATTGTAGCTACTGACTTTATAACTTGTTGGCCCAAAGCATGATCTGTACAAAAAACTAATATGCAAATAGTAGCCGATTTCTTGTATAATGACATTGTTTGTTAACATAGATACTTTGAGTAGATTTTATCTGATTAAAGTACACACTTCTGAAATAAAGTAATAAGGTCTTTTTTGAAAACAATCCATGTAAAGCTGAACTTCTCAACCCTATACTACCTTAATACCAATGATCTTATTAAATACTTTAATAAACCCTTATATATAGTGTTAGAAAAGTTAGTTGATAATGTTATTAACTAGAATTTACTTATTTCACTAATACTTTTTGCTTACTGCATAGTACAAAATCTAATAACTAAAATAATACTGTTTTTCTTTGTATATGAATAAGAAGCATGATAGCCTATTCATCCTAGCTGAATAGAGGAATTACTAGAAAGAACTATCTTGTATAAATCTTTGAATTGATAAACTAAATCCCCATCCTTAGAAATAAAGCTATTAAACAGACCTATTAAAGCCAAGTTAAGCAAAAGGCTTATTATAATAAATGCTATTGGATCAACCCGGTTTTGAGATAAAAAACAAAGTTCTATTAAAAAATATTACAAAAAAATATTCACAAAGTAAAAAGCTATCCCCGAAATATAAAGGCCCATATTATATTCACAACAAACTACTAAATAACACCTATAAATTAAGAATATAAGATGGAAAGATTATCATTACCCTCTTTAATATGTGCTTGATGAAGAAGTACTATAAATAAAACAAGTAAGATATATATATATAAAAAAAAAAAGCACTAATTTACAATTATTAGATAGTCAGTTATAATAGTTGTATATAGGGTTTTTGGGCATATGACAAGAGTGTATTATGCTCTTTATTTTGGATATAGATGTATTTTATTTTTGAGTTATTAGGTTTGAGTAAAGTTAAACAATTTTCATTTAGATTTTTTTTTTATTATTTTCATTCTGTTGTATTAATTCTTAGTTAGTTTTGTAAAAGAAAAAAAAAAAAACTTTTAAGTACCAAAACAACTAAATGAATCTGCAAGAACATCTATTAAACCAATCAAAATACTCTTATACCAAAG